GAAGTGGCAAGCACAATTGTTTTCTAGCAGGAAGAGAACTTGTGCCTGAGAATTTCTGTGAAAGAGTCTTGCAACAGCTGGGCAGTGATTTAAACCTCTCAGGATTCCGAATTTAAGCTTAAAAATACATTTGCATATGCCAGCATTAGCAATGGAATCTCAAAATCGTGCCAACTCAGCAACAACCCAAAGGAAATGGAAATCTGCATTGTTCAGAAGCTAAGCCTCAGGAAGCAGCTGTGTCAACAGAGCTCAAACCTTCCTTCTCTGTTAGATGCTTGATTCTCAACAAGAACCAACTATACTATCACTAGATATGCTGAAATGCAAGTGAAAGGAATAGGTCTCGTTGTCAAGTTCAGAAATATGGAAAATTCTCTCTAGGTGTGTGAATACGAGAAATGTGAGGGTGTAAGATGCAAGTGAAACTGGAAAGACACGAGGGTCGGTGTGTAACTGACTCCCCTTGCATCCTTCCTTGGTTCTCAGTTTCTCACATGTTGAGCTTGTACCCTCATTTCCCATTTTTTTTTTCCTCTTGTGGAACTTAGACACAGAGGTCATTTTTTAAATTATTTTTTAAAAGATTTATTTATTTTTATTGGAAAGGCAGATAAACAGAGCGGAGAAAAGACAGAAGGGAAGATCCTCCCTTAGCTGGTTCACTCCCCAACTGACCTCAACAGCTGGAGCTGCTCCGATCTGATGCCAGGAGCCCAGAGCTTCTTCCAGGTCTCCCACGCGGGTGCAGGGTCCCAAGGCTTTGAGAGATTTACCTGTTTTCCTATAACAGGGGAAGATCATGAACATGGATTTGGCAGTGAAGATGGGTCAAAGATAGTGCGGAAACAAAGATGGCAATAGGCAGTGTTCAGAATATGGGGCTCTGCTAGGAAGGATGCCTGGCAGGCAGTGCAAACAAGCTTAGACTGAAGCCAGCATGGCAGGTGCAGGGGTAAGACTGAGCTGTTGCTGGAATCAAACCCTGTAGGGCTGGTGGGTGGAAGAACATGTGATCAGGCAAGGAGAAGCTCTATAACCAGAAGTGGGCTTGATTTATGTAGCTGACACCTACCCATTTGTAAATGAAAGAGACCAGTTTTTTAATGTATATAAGTAAGTGAGCAATAATTAAGCAGCAGGGAGCTCTCTGCCTCTTTATTTTCTTAGACTGAGAGCAACAGAAATGCCTTGCAGTGACCTACATTAGCCACCAGGCTCTGGGTAACTCATGCCACCTCATGTACCTCAGGATTTGCTTCTCTGTTTGTTTTGCTCATTGTGTTGGGGGATTTAGTGGGTCAGACTGGCAAGCCCCTGGGGAGTGACTGTGGGGGGCAGTGCTGACATTGCGTATAATGCTCCTATTTAAGCCATTTCACTATGTGTAAAGGTTCACTCATTTGTGATAATGTGTACTTTACCATTCCCTTTGTGACGCATTCTCTTGAGATCTTTTTTCTTCTGGGGATTGATGCTTAGGGGCTGTTTGGGAATGGACATGGAAATCAATAAGTAGAAGGCAGTGTATTGCTGCATCTTTTAGCGTTGTAGTTTCACTGCATTGGCAGTGACTTGTTATTTAAAACAACTATGCAAAATATACCTTTTCTTTCTTTCTTTCTTTTTTTTTAACCAGTTCCCTCAGTGTTCTTATTTTAAAATATGGGCTCCAGGCATGGAAAACACCAACTTACATGATCAACCTTGTCAGATACATTTACGGATGCTGAGAAAACCTTTGCATTTTGCAGAAATGTACTATAGACACACCTTACCTTCCCTGTGGTTGATAACATCACAATGCGTGGAAGATGACCTTACATAAAGGTTTGCTCCCTTTAATGACCATAATACGTAACTGGAAGTTGTGCCAGAAACTTGATGAACTAGGGAGAGTGAGACAATTGCTGGGGCAAAATGTGAAGGAGAGTAGAATTTTTAACAAAGGTCACCCTCTCTGCTTTTAGCTTGTGATGACATTATTATCGATCTAACCACGATTTTCATGACTGTACATTCCATTTTGACAGCAGGAAAAATGTCAAGCGCCTCAATCAGATTGGCCTTAGTGGACAAGAGTGCATATAGCTTCTCAAAAGCCTTCAAGAACACAATTTTAAATCTTTACTGGTAGGAAATTTTTCTATTGGTGTTGAGTATTGCCGGCAGTCAGTATTTCAGTGATGAACTTGCCTTTGTTAGTTCTGGGGCTTTCTCTTACAAGAAGGAAGATGAGAGGAGCTAACCGCTTGAGTCCAAGTCACCTTTGAAAGAACCACCTGTTGGTGCTGGGTGGGGCTGAGTTCTCAGACGATGCCCTCACCTGACTGTGACTGTCAGTGCTCTGCCTTCTCTGGCTGTACACCTCTTTTAGGACTTTACGTTTGTGACGCAAGAAAAATAGCTCTTCATCCATAGATGATTTGAAACTCCGTTCCACAGCTCCCTTCCCTCTCTAGTCCCCATGACCACATCTGTAGCACATGCATGCACTTTGCGGCATAGACCCACTGATGACCAAGTTAGCATGCACTGAAAGTTGCTTTAAAAAAATCCCCTTGTTTCCCTTCTGCTCTGAGTTTCTTTGTGCTCTCAACATCGGATTGTGACTGAGTTGTCTCATTTTGCTCATCTTAAGACTACAAAAGGTTACATTGCCTTTCCTTGCTGTGCCGCCTCCAGCTGGCATTCTCTACCCTCTATAGTCAACTCTCAGCCAGTGCAGGCACAAACAGCTCCAAAAGATATTGCCACCATTTCCCAGAGTTTTGTCTTATCTTCTAGTGTCTGTTTTTATCTCTTATGCAAGCAGGAATAAGAGTTTGCTAAACAAGTTCCATTTTCATTTTGCCACTTTCCTTTTTCAAACAGCTATGGGTGTCTATTACCCGTTGTATCCAACAGAACTCTCCATTCCGTCTTTTCAAGACATTCTCTGTGCACACCCACTCTTCTCATGAAATTTAGATTTCTTGACTCATCCTCGTTAACATCTCTTGCACTCAACCTGCTAATTCCCACTTTGCCATCTTTGTCCATTCAGATCCTCTTTTCTTTCCCTAATTCGGCCATTGTTCAGTATCCAGTTCAAACTCTACCTAGTCCTCAGTGTTTATTCTGGTCTACCTTGCAGATCTGTATTATTTTGTTCTGCATTACCTCTCAACGTGCACTTTGGCAATCTAAAGTATCCGTAGATTAGATTAAAGCAAAGGCAAGCTTGAATTTGGATTCTACCACATATTGACTAAGCAGTTCCAGGTCTTGCTGAGCCTCCTTCATCCTAATTATAGAAAAAGAATTCATACTAACAATGGTTCCCCCCTTGAATTATTGTGATTAAGTGTGGTAATGAATTTAAGGGAACTGCTACTAGATAATCGATAAGGTAATATCTCAGAGAACATCTTCAGTCATGCCGCAAATCCACATGATTATACTCTCCATGAAAGAAAATTTGATCTTTCTTCCCTTCATTCATATCCCTATATCTTATAGGATGTTCAGCACAGATTAAATAACCAGAAATGTATTGAGAAGTAAGACAGGAATGACCGTGAATGGTTGGGAAGCATCTCTGCCCCTACCATTATTATTTCGCAAGTTTCTGCCATCTCATTGCAAGTAGGATATACACAGCAGGGGCACAAGATACGTCATGACTATGTGTGTGTCTGAAGTGTGTGTTAGGAGGCTGCAGGCTTGTGCTTCATGTTTTAAGGATGGTGATCGAATTTTGAAGACTGTTCATTTTTGATTTGTTAATAATTCCTTTTACTTTTTGTAAATCTCTTCTGCTTAGGAATACATTACAGATTTATCATAATTGTGCACAATTAGTGCACAAATGAATACTCATGACATTTGTGGTTACAGCTTTTCCCTCTTTAATTTGGGGATTTGGGCCAGAGGGTTTTTCATGTCTTAGAGTTTCCTGTTGGAGGGCTTGAAAGGGACACATATTAAATGATTTGTAAGAGTCTTCTGCTAACTCTTTGTGTTTGAAAATGTTCCTGGCACCATTACCAATAGCATTGTCATCACAATTAACATTGGATTCAATTGCATTTGGATCAGTTTTCCCATTGACTTGCCACTGCGCTATCTCCCATTTCTAGTGTTTATAAACACCCTTTCCTTTGAAAAATGGAAAGTGCCCAAGTAAATAATGCTGCCTTTAGTATGCAAATGTAAGTTGTATAGAAATTGAATTGTATGGGAGATGATATTACTTGTGATAGTTCAGGAGGAGTTTGGCAGAAAAAAGATGAGCAGGTAAGTTTTCAGCAGCTGTCTTTACTGTAGCATATAATGTTAGGCAAAATGAAGTTTCCCTGTACGCAGCTCAGTGGAGGAAGGTTCATTGAGTCCACAGAATTTTGAGCAGGCAGAGCCCTCAGCGTTTATGACAGCCTATTTTCTCAGGGCATGTATTGCTGTTGCTCTATTGTCATCTAAACTGGAAGTTATAATGATGTTTCTTTTCTCCTGCCTTATTTATGTTTTTGTTTGTTCAATAAGGAATTTGTGTAGAAAATACATTGGTTCTTCAAATGAAATTGCTATTATTCATTAGCTTAGGTGGTAACATTGTGCTGCTTCTGATTTTTTAAAATGTATTTAGTTATTTTCACCTATTTGGAGGGAAGGCAGACAGGGGGATCCTTCCATCGGCTTACTCCCCAAGTGCCAGTGGCAGTCAAGGCTGTGCCGGGTGAAAGCCAAAGGCTCAGAGCTCAGTCTAGCTCTCCTATGTGGATATCTTAACTACTCCAAATGCTAGCCTCCAGATAGTTATAAAGATGGAGAAAATGTATAGTCAGTCCGGGGATGACTTGATGTCTTTGATATTGGTCAAATAATACAGCCTGTTGTATCATCAAAAAGTCATATTTCCAAGTCACATTTCCTTTTGGAGGCTTTGAGAGTGATAATCCAGAAAGGATATTTATATACACATATCTTTATTTTTCCTCTTTTTCTCCAAGGAAACCAACATGTCTGACAAAAGTGACTTGAAAGCTGAATTGGAGCGCAAAAAACAGCGTTTGGCACAGATTAGAGAAGAGAAGAAACGTAAGGAAGAGGAAAGGAAAAAAAAAGAGGTGAGTCCTGGGGGTAAGGGGAAAAGAAGAAAATCACTTGATTATTATGGGCACGGAACATGCGCAAAGGAGTGGATGTCCACAACTTCAGAACAGTGACGTCTTTGCAGGGCTGGACCATTCAGTCACTCAAGAATGGTTCCAGCATTTGCTTTGGAGACCACCCAATGCCAGACTCATCCCAGACTAGAATAGTTCTGTATAATCTCTTTACTGTTGGGAACTAGACACTCCATAACCTTCTGTATCTCCATGTACTGTACCTCCTCATGGGAAGAACAGTTCTTTATTTGGGGGAGTTGTAAAAATATTGGTTAATCTTGCCTAACATTCAACAGCAACTAGGATACAGTTAGTACTTAACAAATGTTAATTTAAGAAAAGCGTTTAAAAAAACACCAGCTATAACATATTAGGTGAGAAGTTGAAAATGGGCTAGTTTATTTTGTGTTCTGCAGGAGATAAGGATATGCATTTCAAATTATGCTGAATTGCTGTCTTGGTTATGTCAAACTGAAGTCATTTGAGGAACTGTAATTCAGAAAAGGCCCTTGACCTGCTACTTCACCAAGCCACAGAGTCCTTCAGGAAGGTGTGTCCTCTGCATTGCATGGCCAGAAGTCAGCCTTCATCATGAGACAGGTGATTAGGGGCAGTGATCTTGAATTGGCAAACTCTTAGAAGTAGCACTTTCCTCCCACCGGCTTCCACTTGCCTCCTTCTCCCAACTTTGGCAACATCCCCAGAATTCACTGCTCTAGCGAAGGTGCTTGTCAGTCTTGTCATTCCCTCCCAGGTTGTTTGTTCTGTGTATGAAATGGATAAAAAGTTTCATGCTCAGTCATTCCTGCAGACCTCATTCTTGTGAAGATTTCCATGCACCTGGAAGCAGAATAGAATGTTCACTCTTCTCCCTTGTGAGTTGGAAATCTTTTTGGGGGGTTCTAAAGCAACCCAGCATCTGCTGAGATCCCTCACAGCTTCTTCAGGAGTATGTGTTTTCCTTGGTCAATAAGAATCCTAAGTTTGGTAAAGGCATAGCTGTACCCCCACTACTCAAGTTAGTGATACAATACTGAAAAACAGAATTGTCAGCAATTACAGCTGGAAGACAGGTTTTAAAAGTTTTACTTACTTATTTAAGTGATTTGAAGAACAAATGGGAAGGAGGAGAGAGACAAGATAGCTTCCATTCTGCCCAAATACCCACAACCATGGGACTGAGTTAGACTCCAGTTTGGTCTCCCAGGCCTCTTTAGGGGCACACGTACTTGATCCATCACCTGTTGCCTCCCAGGTTGCACATTAGCAGGAAGCTGGATCATAAGCAGAGGTAAGCCTTGACATCAGCACTAGAGTGTCAGATGTGCAAGCCCTAGGTTCTAGCTTAGCCAGCAGTGCTGTGACACAAATTGGCATCCAAACACGATGTTAATGCTGCAAGTGGTGGCTTTACTTGCTACGTCTCAACCCTGGCCTTTGCATAGAGTTTTTCCTTAAAGAAAAAGACAATGTCTTTTGATGCCTTATGTTCTAAATAAATGTTGTTAGTACTGTAAGACCAGCAGACTAGGACAACAGATTTATAGCAATTATTGTTTTCTGACAAAGCCTAATTGCGGTTGCATTTCAGCCTGCTGGCATATTGACTTTCTCTGTACCATCGCACTTTGATTGATACCATCATCTGTGTCCTTGACATCATGCATAATATTTTTCTCTTGGAGATCTTTGCAGTTATAGATGTAGTTTTTGAGTGAAATAGAGGTAAGAAGTGACAAGGAATGGCTACTCATTTCACTTGCAAAGCCAAAAAAAGCATTAAGCTATTATGTTTCCTTTCCTTCAATGTCAACACTTCCTGCAGTTTTAAAGCACCTGCTATCCTTCACTAATAACTGGTTTCTTTTTAAACTGACATTCTGATATCCGACTTAAATTTCACAGAATTACCACAAAATGTGGTGTGATCTTCATCTGTCTGCTTCATTTTTTTCATCTTACACACTTTGGGGAAATTACGGGCCAACATGAGTGATAGCAGCAGGCTATTCCTTTTTGCTTCTACAGCAGGCAGTTTTGCCTGATGATGGAGATTTCTCTTGTTACAGGATAAGAAAAAAATCTCGGGGAGATTGTGGGTAGCAGGTGACAGGACACATGGAATGAAGTCTTTTTTCCTTCATTCCTAAATGGACGGGATGTTTTAAGCCTTTGATAAAGAAACACTCCATAGAGTCATGTGACAATGCACACTGCTAGTCTCTCATCCTATGATACCAACCCAGCAATGCTGTGGACTGCATCGTCTTCTAGGCCCATCCTGGTTTAAAATCTGCTCTTTGCAGCATATCCCCTGGCACAAAGATCCTTCCTCGGTTCAGCGCTTGCATCTTTTGCCAATGGGGCTGGTTTGCTTTGGGCTGTGCGGAAGATGACAAATGCTCAACAATGACATACACGGGTTTTGAGTAGAACGTGGCTGGGAATCCAGCTTTGTCCGACACACTATGTCCTTCAGGGAGAATTGCTCTGGACTTGTTTACTATAGATGAAAGAAAGAGTAGGGCTTTGGTCATGGACTTGGATAAAGACTCCGTGAGATCCATGGGGCTGGGAAATGCTCCACAGCTGGTTGAGGGCAGAGCTTCCCTGGGCTCTGTGACAGCACTGGGGCAGCTGCACCTGTGCCACTGGCATGGCTCCGTCCTTTTCTCAGGCTCTCGCCTGGTGAGCCCATGTCCCCAGAACACCCCGATATTGCAGTAGCATTTTCCCACGCCCTGGTTTCTTGTGATTATGACATTCTATAGCTCAAAGAAATTTGAAAGTAATCTACTCCGACCCCTCTTTTTTTTTCATAAGAAAATAGAAAATCTGGGTCCTTGAGATCTAAACTTGAGAAGGAACCCCCTAACCCCTTTTTCTTCAGTATCAGGGAAGACCTCTCAGCCAGCCAGGTGTCCAGTTTGAAACCTGGGTCTTTCTGTGTCCCTGCACTCAGTTTAGTGATGACCAGGTTCTGGGCTGGCGTCACTGATGAGACTGGTGTTCCAGTGCTTTTCCCTCTAACACCCAATTTCCAGCTCGATGGAGAAACTGACATATTGCCTTTATTTTTTTCCTTTAAAATGTATTTATTTTTATATTAGAAAGAGAGAGAGAGGGAGGAGCTGGGAGGAAGGGTGGGATGGAGGAGAGAGAGTGAGACAGTGAGAGAGAACCCAAGTTCCGCTTCATTTCTCTCAATGGATGGATCTGAATTGAGCCTGGAACCAGCTTGGAACCAGCCTCACATCAATGGGAAGCTGGGATGAGTCTCTGGAACTGGGGGTCCAATCCAGACATTCGGGAGCGTTGGTTGGTACCCTCACCACTTGGCTGACTGCTGCCCTTCCTGTTGCTGGAGACCACACCGCAGACCAAGCTGACGGTCTCCTCTCTCGGCTCTCATTGTTCTGTCTCTCTTGGCTACCCTTCCCCTGGGTGTTTAATGCCTGCCTGTCGGTTCTCACCTGAAATCTCACTGTTTCCAGAAAGCTGTCCTCAACCTGCTCTCCACCCACAGATAGACAAGAGCTGTGCCTCGGCTTTGTCCTGATCAAACCGCTTAGCACTTCATAGTTGTTCTTTGCTGGGGCTTTCTCTCCAAAGAGACCACAAGTTTTTGAGAGAAAGTTTGCATTCTTCTCCTTGTTGAGTTCACTTCCAGCACACGTGTGACCTTGGAGGAGTCTATAGTGAAAGCGCTGGATGACACATCACAGGGCAGTTCTGAAGATGCCTCCCCGAGCTTCGGGGGTTCCGTTCTGCAGTTTTCGTTGCAAGCTCCTGCCCTGAGTCTATGGGAAGCACCAGTCCACTGGGCCACTGCATTGATCTCTGAGTTGTATTTTGTTTTGTTTTTTCCTTGTTTTCATTTTGTTTGAGGAGTTAGAAATATTCTGGAGCTCATAGATTGACTTTTTTTTAAAAAAGATTTATTTATTTCAATTGGAAAGTCAGACACACAGCGAGGAGGAGAGACAGAAAGATCTTCCCTCCAATGATTCACTCCCCAAGTGGCTGCAACAGCCAGAGCTGAGCCAATCTAAAGCCAGGAGCTAGGAGCTTCTTCCAGATCTCCCATGTGGGTGCAGGGTCCCAAGGCTTTGGGAGGTTATCAACTACCCTCCCAGGCCACAAGCAGGCAGCTGAATGGGAAGCGGGGCTGCTGGGACATGAACCAGCACCCATATTGGATCCTACAGTGTCCAAGGCAAGTACTTTACCCACTAGGCTACTGCACTGGGCCCTATAATTCATTTTTATGAACTTTCTTTATGCTTGCACTTAGATACAAGAAATAAAATTTAGATTGAAAAAAAAAAAAAAGAAAAAAACCTTGCTCTTTCATACTAAACTGGGTGACCATGCCTAATTCTGGAAACTCTGAATTAAGACCATTTAGGTTGGTATCTCCACAGAATTCAGATAACTGTATATGTGCATAAAATTATCACTGTATGCCCTTTCGGGTGTCAGCCATTTTCTTGACTTTAGTATTGCAGATGAAATCTGGTGTTAAAGTAGTGGCCACCATTTAAGACACAGCCCTGATTTCATGAAAACTTGGCTTCAGTGAGGTAAGCTTCCTAGAGGACACACCTTCCTGAAGGACTCTGTGGCTTGGTGAAGTAGCAAAGACAGGTCAAGGGCCTTTTCTGAATTACAGTTCCTCAAATGACTTCAGTTTGACGTAACCAAGACAGCAATTCAGCATAATTTGAAATGCATATCCTTATTGACTTTTGCCATTTTTAAATATTGCCTATTTCTTTAAAACTTGCAAAATGCAGAAGCAGAGTCCGAGAATTTTGGAGATCAAGTGCAGTTGTACTTTTTGCACCATGTGTGATTACACTAGTGGAGGTGTGCCACCAACATTATAAAACAAAACAATGCCAAACAAACAAACAAACACAAATAGATCTTGTGTCTTTCTGCAGAAGACATACATGGCATGAAGATTTTAATAAGATGCCCTAGGTTTATTCTAATGGAAAAGATTAGGCAGACCTTTTTCTGTATCTTTTGATGTAGGTTTCATTAAGACTTCTCAGCCTTTTTTCACTGACATTTAATTAACCTTCAGTAAATTTTTTGAAAGAATGCAAGAATGTTAAAGATTTTCTTGTTGTTGCTGGAATATAGAAGTGGTTTGGGTGAAAGGGCTGGGTCACCTGATATTTGGGTAACTTTATTCCAACATTAACCTCTGAAAGGGTTTCCTGAATGAGGTACTGTTGGGGGAAATTGGCCTCAATAAGGAAGTTATTATATAGTCCTAAGTTTCTGTAAGTGTAACAATTGCCATTGCAGATCCTAACTCATCCATATGATACATGTTTCATTGAGTACCTGTTGTGTACCAGGAGCTCATCTGTATGAAATATACTGTGATGAAGAAAATACTCAAGGACCTTCCCTTGGTGAAGCTGATCGCTCAGCTATTATTATGTTTTTGTTGTAATAATATACTCTTCCACTCTGGGTTCCTTACATGGGCTTTTTATTTCATTTATATTTCAGTAAGTCTTATGATAAATTCATTTTCTTTTAGTTCTCCTTTTTTGATTGAAATCCTTATTGTAACATTTCTTTTTCTCTCATTTTAATTCTATCTTTGCCTCTGTTGCATGGGTGTAAACTTTGGAAGTTGCTTCAGTAACATAATGTTAAAACTTTGGAGAAAACCCCATGGACTTTGCTACTTTTACTTACAGAACTGAAAGTGCCATTTTAGAATTTTGTGTGGTTTTACAGTGCCTGACGTAGAACCCCACAGGGTCCTCATGGGCCTCCCGCGTGGTAGCTTCCCTCTAGGGACAGATGGACTTCGAAAGTGTGAATGCACTGGACCCCATGATGAATAGTCAGAGGCGGGGTGTCCAGGGTCGTATGCAAAGATACACATAGTTTATAATCAGCACCCAAGTGACCATCTGGGAGTGGGTCAAAACCCTTTCTCCTTTACATGCTAGTATGTAAATTGACTCAGTGCTTTGAAATGTGCCCAGATACTTGGGCCATCTTTTCTTTCTTTCCCAGGCACATTAACGGGAAGCTAAATCAGAAACATATATGAGATACCATGTCAGAGATAACGATTAACCTGCAGTGCCACAACACCAGCCATTGTGACACATCCATGAAGACAGAATTATGAGGGAAACTAATATGTAACTGTCTTATACCATATTTTCCTCCATGAAAATTTTCTCTTTTCAGTTATAATGAAATTCAGTGAAAATCACAATCAAGTAATAACGTTTAAAAAAAGTCATGAGATCCATAACAATATTGCTCATGTATCCTAATACAGATTTTAGCCTGGTTTCTTTTAAATCATTGTAAATTTATACTGCCAACAAAAGTAGTATATTTTACAGTTATAGATTTTCATGAATAATTCAATTTTCCAGCCAGAGCCCAACGATTTCTTATTTGTATAACCCCAAACACAGAGTGTGACTATTGCATGCCCACACTCATTGGGAGCTGAGGCCCCAGAGGGGGACAAGAAGGGCCATAGAAGCACACAGATTTTTTTTTTAGTTCTATCCCCAGTTATAAATCCTTGGCTTTGATGGTTTCTTCCAAAACCAAATGAGACAAACTTCCAGAACCAAGTGCGAGAAAGGCTTTCCTAGCTCTGTGAGAGAAAGCCTTTACCCCAAAGAGGGAACACAACCTGCTCCTTCAGTGGCACAACGGCAGTGTTTGTCACCCTTTGCGCACATGTGGTTCAATCTGTTTAGAGCTGGTCTGCATTACCCTTCACCAGTTGCCATCACAGGCAAGGAACAGCACGCGTGTGGTTGGGTTATTCACGTTTCTCACTGCCTGTCTGTGTTGTCTAGGCTGATCTGCAGCAGAAGAAAGAGCCGGTCCAGGATGACTCGGATCTGGACCGCAAGCGTCGGGAGACGGAGGCCCTGCTGCAGAGCATCGGGATCTCCCCCGAGCCCCCACTAGGTACTTGACGGCTCTGTGTTACTGTCCTCACATGGGACTTGCATGGGATCTTCCGTGTCCAGCTTTCCTAGTCTGTTGACTGTTTTGCGCTATGTCATTTGTTAAAGTCTCTGGCTTACTGTTCGGGTTGCTTGCAGTTTGGGGGTTGAGGGGGCTGGAAGGAGCTGGGTGGCTGTTTCCTGACCGATGGATGGTACAGCAGCCTGATCCACTGTGTGACTAGCGGGGGTTGCTACTTGCTAAATGCAGGGAGTCTTGAGATTCTGAAATTAAGTTGCTCTTCATTTCCATGGCTGACTTTCTCTTCACCAATCTAAATATTGTGAATCTGCTTATGAATTTCATAATCACTCCAGGAGTGGAATTATTCCATGATGAACATAGAATGCACAGCAGTTACATTGAAGGAAAACTTGAAAACGTGGCAGAGGGGTTGCTAATTAACAAATTGACTTTTATTTGATTCTATTGAAGATCTTGATTTCATTGCTAATTGGCAAAACCCCTCCTCGAACTCATTCATTTCTAAATGATTGTTTATGACCTCATTTTATCTCTAAGGTTTGGATATTGAATTTTTTCTTGCATTGAAGGCAACTTATGCATAATTTGTTTCTGCTGTCACTTACCTATATATCGCTCATGTGTTACATCATTTTCATTTTTCTTTTATCCTTTTGTTTTCCATACATGAGAAAATAATCCAGGGGTATCTGTAAAGCTGTATGATGTTCCATACAGTGGGAAAAAAACCTTCTTAAATGTTACATCAAATTAAATATAATAGCAGATGTCATGTTCAAAATGTGTGCAACACACTGATAGGTGTCTACTTTCAGATAAGTAAGAAGATAGCAAGGGTGCTTCCAAAGTTTGTGGAAAATGGAATTAAAAGATAAGCTTCTTTTGGTGAAAACAGTATGAAACCCACTTAATGTGCATTTTCCATGAATATTGTGAATAACTCTTGTAGTATAGGTGAGTCTATGAGGAATCACTAGATATAACTTAGTAAAATGCCACTGAAACATATTACAAACAATCCGATCTCTGGTGAACCCATCAGTCCAGCGATGATGTGACAAGCCTTCGGGAGGTCACCCGTTGTATTTCTTTATGTTGTGGAAGATATCACCTATGGGATATTTGACCTATGGCATCCATTGAGAAGTTGGTAAAACTTCCTGGACTTGGCTGTCATGGAATGTAAATTAAATACTTTGCAAAGAACTCTAGTTGTACCTCTCAAATAGCCTTTGAAATGTTGTTGCTATGTGAATACTGATTACAACACGACAGGAATTTCCCCAAGCCAACATGAACCCAGCATTTTAAAGACAAAACAGTTGCATATCCCTAAGCCATGATCTCCTTCTGAACTGTCACCATATCCCTGCCAACAGGTCCCCTCAGGGAGGACCCCATCTCCACTTATTGTCTCTCTCTACCCTCTGAGCATAAAGTGTGGATGAATGAATTAACTGTGGGACCATGTGAGAAAATTTCTAGCTTTTTGATAGAACTAACATTGTGTTATGGGATTTGGAAAAAAAATAATCAATCCCTATACCCTGGTAGATGAATAAAAGAAAATTGTGTGTGATTGATGCCAAATGGCACTGTGCCTGTGGCTGCTCTGGCATATGTGACACCAGGAGCCCATCATGTTGCCTGGCTGAAGCCATCTTGGCTGAAGGACGGTCACCTCACCTTTGGCCTGCTCCTTTTATTAGCCTCCCTTTCAGATCTTCAGCTTGTGGTGACCCTGCTCTTGGAACTCGTTTCTCCTGCCTTGGGAAAGGCAGCTCTGTGCATAACATGGTGGCTTTTTAGAACTGCTGGAAGCAAAGACAACAACTCCCAAGCAGAGTAAACAGCACAATGGGCTGAAACTAATAATTAAATGTAAAAATAAAGCAGCCTGTCATGGTCTTTGTTTTAAAAGAGATTTTTAAATTACAGGGTTTAACATTTTACCCTTTCTCTCTCTGTCACCCAGTCTATTATAACAATGACAGTTTATCTGACATGGACAGTGAGTTTCCTTCAAATACAGACACACAGCAGGCTTTTCTGACTTTCCTTGACCATTTACAGTCCTCCAGAATCACATTTTTTTATAAGATCTTAAGGTTTTATAGACACCCTGTTTTTAATTTTGTAATAGGTCACATCTATACTAACAAAATAAAATGGAGAATTGGAATTAACTGGATAGTTCACACTTGGGGAATATTTGGCTTGAATTGTCTTGAGAATGATTTTGATTCTCCGTTTTACTTTGTTAGAGTGGACGTAGCCTCAGAATCCCTAAATGAACTGTCTCTAAATTCATTTTTCAAATTTTAATTTCCAAAATTAAAAAAAAATTCACTTGATTCTCTCCCTTTTCTTTCCTTTTTATTTTCTGTTTGTTTTGTTTTTGCTTTGTCTTTTTCTTGCCCCATCTCGATCTCTCCCGGCCATACAACCACTTTACTTTGGGCCCATTTGTTTGGATGTGTCTGACACTGCTCTTCACCAGTGCAGCCTCTGCATTTTTTAACATGGGATACCTGTTATTTTCATTATTTAGTCCCAACCCCTATGTCTCCCTCCTCGAAATCAGTCAGCACTCCCAGTGAAGCTGGAAGCCAGGACTCGGGAGATCTGGGACCATTGACAAGGTAAGAGTTGTGGTCTCTTTACCAGCTGTGGGATGTCCGGGGTACTAACGCACACTGCTAAAACACTTCATTGTGCATGAACTTGCATGCATATTCAGCCATTTTATGTTGCAGTGGGTGATAGTGTGCTTTGTTTAGTGGCATGCCAAAGAGTCTGAGAACCAGAAATAATTGCACATCATCCCTTCCTTGTGTGAGCTAACACATGTGTCTTGCTTAACAGCCCTTCCTTCTCTTCCGTTTTGGTTTACTACCTTATTTGTTTTTCATTTACAAACTTCTCTTTCCGAATAGAACACTGAAATGTTTGAACCCAACATTCAGTTTTGTCAATGTCCTGTTTCTCTAATGGAGTTGATGAATTTGAGAACCCATTGCCCAGGGTTTTCATTATTATTATTACTGTTATTACAACTACTTGTGTGTTGTTTATTGAGTTAGTTGCCTAATTTCTATCCCATTAGAAATGAACGTAGACATCATCACATTTGACCCCAGAAGTGGTAACTGAAAGTAAAAGCTAGACAGTAAAAAAAAAAGATTCATTTTCTAATTGTAGTCATGGCAACTCTTAATCTTCATTCCCTTTACCGGGATTCCCAGTATGGCTATAGACAAGTGATACAAATGGGTGTGGGAGGACCTGAGACAGCATGTCACCCCTCCCCCCGGAAGGCCACATGGCTTCCTCACCGCTCATGTTGGTTGAACTCATGTAGGAACACAGACCCAGTTTTTCCGCATTTCCCAATTTGTCACGAGAAACAAGACATTTCAGTGTTTCTAGAATCATCTCCTAAATATTAGTGATGTTTGTTAAAGGTAGTTAAGGGCTAGATGGGGTCTGGGGGCGTGGCAATTTATGTCTTCTGTCCTCTGGCTTTGGTTCTTCATTTCTTAGAAAAGTCATAAAATAATTAATCTGCATATGAAAACAAAATTTTAAAAAAGGGAACAGCTCATTCATAGCACAGTTCCTCAAACAAGTCTGCCTTTTGGCTGGTTTGCACGCCTTTCAGTCCTGAGCTGAGAGCATTCCTGAGGGCATACCATATGCATTATTGGGAAGAAATGTAAAATGGTGCATTTTTCTAACCTAATGCATTGTCGCAAGCAAGTGGGGGGGAGGGGACACGCTGTGTTCTGTTTCTGTACTGGCGTGGGCAGTTTGGTAAATGCTAACATGGATTTGAGGGTCGTCCGACATTGGCCTGAACTGTAGGCTTCGCCTGTCTTCAGAAGCCAACGTGTGAGATTGAAATCACTTCGCTCACGTCTGCTGGGTGGTATGCGTCAGGTTGGAGGACTGTGTTTTGATCAGGCCTTTCAAAACCAGGAGGCCCTGCTTCCAATTTGTGACAAATGAAAGCAGAGGCTTTTAGGGACACATGGCTGGTTTATTTTAGCAAATCACCTTTGTGATTTGGGGCAGCATAACATCTTCTGTCATCTTGTGCTTTGAACACTTCAAAAGGTCTTTGAGAAGAAAAAACAGTAATAATAACAGAGTTGTATAAGATCTAACAGGTATTCAAGAGCGGGTATGAATGATCACATTAAGTGAATATATTTGACTGTTCTATACAGTGGTGGTGTTGTGTCATTACTGCTTAGCTTCCAGGGTGCAGTTGGCAGCTGTGTTAAGTTCTATTCCCGATTTCACAGTTGATGAGCCCTTTGAAACTTTACCAGAGAAAGCTGACCTGAGCTGTTACTACTCTTGGGACAGGTGCAATTATCCCTGCTCAGAGACCATCACTCTTCATTTCTTTATTCCTTCTGCTGCAATTGATTTCCCCCCCTTTTCTTGACTTAGTAAATCGTTTTGGAAAGGGTACAGTCTGCTCTCACCTCTGTACACTCCAGTTAACTTCAGTTCTTTTTAGGGAAGTACTGGCAAGCATGGGTAACTAAAAGTCAGTGAACAGACCCCCTCCTAAGTGCAGGCTTCATAAGCAATCCAAGAAAGTTGGCACCAAAAAAGTGATATTTTTCAAAGGGAATACAAAGCTTGATTAAGGAAAACATGTTAGCAATATCTTACTCTGGCTTTGAACTTAGGAAAATTCCATTCAAATGTACATGTTTGCTTTAATATAATAGAGATGAAAGTCAAATTGCAGAAGAATGTTATGTTTGAGTTTTCAAAATTCTGCTTAGAATATCTTTTGGTGTAAAATATCTTTGGAAACAGTCCCTATTAACTTTACTAGTTCATAAAACATGAGCCTGGGAAAAGAGCTTGGTGATTTCTGGGACTATAACTGCCGTCATAAACTTACCTGGTAGGTTTTTGAGTGTTTCAAATTAATTTTTTTTTTCAGCAGAGAACTTCTGAATGAAATTAACACATCTGGTCATACCTAAAATTGCAGATAAGTTTTGTCATTTCTTCACCAAAATTTCAAAGCAAAACTAGAATTTTGGTATTAGCCCAAATTGTTAAACATTTGTTACGATCATGGTAACTGGCTAATCTGAAAACTGGTATACTCAAAATAATGCTTTTAAAGAAACTCAACACAAATCTCTATCAGATTTTAAGAGCAGGTGACTGAATATTTTAAAAAACGTACTTAAAGCAACGAAGTAGTTAATAAATTTCAAATTATTCTAGTGTAATTTAATTACATTTTTCAAAGTGCCTACATTTGTTTTCAACTTCTGCTTCTGTTAATATAGTCCCCTTTTGCTTCACAAATTATGTTCATAACATCTTTCTTCTTGGCCAGTTTTTGCATAATTGGTTGATCATTGCTCAGTTAATCAGATGGAAACATATGGGGCAATGAATGAAATCTTGACTAAAAAATTAAATTTTATCAATGAAACATTTAAAAGATGAGTTTTACATAGACATTGGTGAAAATCTTTACTGTATGCAACTGAAATTCTGCATAATATGAAGGTGTCATGCTATGATGAACAGATATTGACTCAAAAATTCAAGGATATTTTAATATAGAGAAATATGTTACCATACTTCTGCTTTTAAAATTGTCTGAGAGAATATGCATACATATATCTGTACATATGTCCTTGTGCTTTATAGCCTTTAAGTAGAATAGCTTTTGCTTAGTTAAGAAAGTGTCACTTTTTCTCAACTACGGAATAAGTGATATTTCAGAATCTATCCATAGACTTTGTGTCTGATAAACATTTGTTGAGTGAATGAACTGTCCTCTCACATTTAATAGATGATGACAATGATGTGCACAGAGAATTCATTTCCTACGGAACGTAGCTACAAGGTTAAGTTTAAATTTAGACATGTAGATCAAGTTCCATAATTTATACTTCTGCTCTACATTATCTTTAATGATTGATGCAAATGATGCACAACCAATCCCTTAAGATTATTGTGAGAATTAAAGAAACTGGTATCTGAAAGCAGTGGAGTCAGGCATATAGGAAGAATGTATGCATTTCTTTTTTCATCAGTATTTTCTCAGTATTTTTTTTTTACGATTATTTTTAATTCAAAGCAAGATTTACAGAGACAAGGAGAGACAGATCTTCCATCCTCTGGTTCTTTACCCAATGGGTGCAATGGACACAGCTAAGATTACTGAAGACCAGAGTCTCTTCTGGACCCCTCATATGGGAACAGGGTGCCAAGGTCTTGGGCTGTCCTCTGCTGCTTTTCCCAGACCATAAACTGGAAACTGGATGATAAGTGTAGTAGCTGGGACACGAACTGATGTCCCTATGGAGAGAGAGAGAAAGAGTGAGAGAGAGAGAGTTTAAATACCTACAGTGACACTAGGGCTGAATCCAGAAGAAGCTCAACTGAAGCCTCCCAAGGAAGGGGCAGGGACCCCGGTGCTGCAGCCAACACCAGGAAGTTGGAGACAGAAGCCTGAGCTTGGTTTTAAACTTGGAACTCACATGTGGGATATGTCAGCAAGTATGTCTTTTGGTGGAAACATTATCTTCAAAGGTGATCTGATGAATCAGAGGCAAAGGGAAGGCATCATGGGCACATAAGGTGAAAATACAATAAAATAATCCAAGATCATGTGGAAGCTAATAGCACCATTAAACTTTTGTGTTTATAAGTAATGAAATGATCGTTATTTAAAGAGGAATTGACAAGATACTCCCAGCTAATTAGACTTCAGGGAGTTTGGAGACACTGATTCAAAGCTGATTGAAAGCTAATCTCTGGAAATTAAAATAAAATTTACATTATGGGATTTTCTCTGTAGGTAGCACATTCACTGATTGGTTTAAAAATGCTGGTATCTTAATCACTCTGCCCTCAGGCAGAGTGTGCTGTGTGTATCCATGTGGTTACAGTCACACAGTCTGAGCATCTGCTTCTGTAAGGCATTGTTGACCTTCCTTTTAGAGAGGCTGCTTGTTTGGCAGCAGAAGTTTTGTGTAACATTTAGGGAAAGCATGTCTTTGCTCTAGAATGGTGGTCCTATGTTCATGTGAAATCCAGCTTGGGTAGGCTTCCTATGCAGGTTAAAATGGTCTGTATTGCACTCCTTGTTCAGGCATAGGTGTTACCCAACAGAGAGAGGATTCCTACATAGTAGGTTAAGACAAGGACTTTGAAAAGGAGAGCCTGACCCGAGTATAGTTCGCATTGTGCCCACATTATTTCAGACATCAGAAATCTTCGTTGACATCATTTGCCAGTCCTTGGGAGAGAAGGCTGGGAAGCAAAATATTAGCTCATTATTTACATATCATTACTTGATTGACATCATTTTCATTAAAGTGGCAGATGGAGTAGTTTGCTAGGTTCAGACATGTCCTGATTATTCATGATCACTTTTGTAAATGGCTTTTTATGCATTAGGTATTTGGGGGCGATGTTGGCTAGAGAGGTTCTGTTTGGCACTATGCTCATTTGGGCCCGAATAGGTTCCACTTTCTGGTTAGTAATGTACAATTGGTTTGTCTGAGAAGTCATGAAAGAAAGGATCAGAGGAACTGTGGGACTCAGAAGAGCTTGCTCTTCAGCTGGGACTCCATTGCAGAGGGAACGG